TTTCTCACTTTTACCCTTCCGATTCTCTCCCCCATCCCACTGTGGGGGAGTGAGTGAGCGGCTGGGTGGTGCTTAGTTGCTGGCTGGGGTTAAACCACAACACAGGTATTGTGTTTTTAAGAATGTTGTGGTTCAAAGCTGTGTCTGGTGCTTGTGAAAAGGAAATGGTGGCTTTTTGATGTTCCAATTAACTTATTAATTAAAATAAAAGCCAAAGACAGTTGAAAATGTTTTATGTAAATCTTTGAAGAGAGCCAAGGGTTGAATGAACATGGGAATCCCTCTTACTTCATCCAAGAGAGAGTACAAGCCCCAATTAGGTCAGGAAATACTGCAAAATTAAGACACAAGCTACTCCAAGTACAAAAAACTGTGGTTGACAGAAGCCTTTGCTTTACTCCAGCTGCCTTTCTAAAGCTGGAACCTCTTAAAAAAAAAAGGGTGTGGGATAAGAGCCAAAAAAAAAAAAACAACAGAAATGTGTACGTGAGCACGGGTGCTTATTTTGCAAGCAAAGCAGAAGTGAAACTGTAGATGTCTAACAAGGGATTTTTAAACCCTAGTAATTCAGATCAAAGGAAGACACCTTGAATAGTTAAGGCAATTAAAATTTTAAACGTAATGTAATGTTGTCACTCTGTGGCCTGTGCCAGTACTACATACAGACCTCTACTTAGCATTTGCTTCATAAATACTTTGACGCTTACTTTTGTACAATGACAGAGTTGCAGCCTTGAAAGACAGTAGATACCAGATTATTTTTAGAATGTGAGCAAGCACTTGGTTATTTGATGTTAAATCTGAACCTGTGATCCTGAAAAAGCCCACAGCTACCTAACCTGCAATGGTATCACTTGCAAAAATGGTGAGATCCATTGTGCTGGTCACAGACCCCACAGAAATAAAGTCTTCCTGCTTGAGGGAAGTACTTGGTTTCTCTTTTCTCCAGTGCCCAGTCGGAAACATTCTTCTTTCTTCAGTCAGGTGATCTCAAACCATTCATTCACCACCTTTGTTCAACAATCTATCAGCAGCGGCTTGCCCCTTTTGCAATTAATAACTTTTTTTTTTTTTAAGAGCTGGCCATGTGTCTGAAAGCAAATTTGACCATCTTCTCCAGTATTGCTCTGCTCATCCACGACTTACGCACTCAAGTTATTTGGGGAAACACTAAAACAGTGTCACTCAGGTCTTCAGTTATTCAGCTGAGGCCTGAATATTCAGAATCCCCTAGTTTTGCTGAGAATTGTTCTATTTTAACTCTGCTGTACAAAATGCTTTGAAATGGTAATACTCACCCGTTACTGATACACCAGCTTCAAAGGCTGAATTCGAATCGCAAACAGGGTCATCATTATCCTGTACCCCTCACATCTCCAGAGAAAACCCTCTGTTTCTGTGCATCTTTGAAATGTTAATTGTTTAACTGCTAAAAGCTCCCACACCTTGTAAAAAAAAGAGGAAGCTAAAAATCTCAACTTCTAAAATTTAGCAATCAAATAATTTCTGATTATTTAAATTAAGGCTTTTCTGGAGATTTGGGCAACTGAAGTATATTAGGCTGGTTGGAAGGTCAGCTCCAGCTCACGTCCAGGAAAGAAAGTCAATGCCACCAGAAATGCACTGAGGGCAGAGATACTAATAAGAGGGACCTCAACAGGCCGGAGATGTGGGCTGACAGAAACCTCATGAAGCTCAACAAAGGCAAATGCAAAGTCCTGCACCTGGATGGACTAACCCTACACACGGGGACAAACTGGGGGCAGGTGGGTAGAAAGCTGCTTTGCAGAAAAGGACCTGGAGGTCCTAATGGACACCAAGCTGAACAAACATGAGCCATCAACGTGCCCATGTGGCAAAGGTCAACTGCAAACTCGTCTGTATTAGTAAAGGCACAGACAGCAGGTCAAGAGAAGGGGTTCTTCCCTTTTATTCGGCACTTGTGAGACTGCATCTCAAGTACCGTGTCCAGCTGGGGCTTGCCCAGTACAAAAAAAGTCATTGACATGCTGGAGTGAGTCCAGCAGCACGAAACCAGAGTGAGCAGAGGCTGGAGCACGACACTCAAGGACAGGCTGAGCTGGGTCTGTTCAGCATGAAGAAGAGAAGACTATGGACAGATCTTACTGCTGTCTGCAAATACCTAACAGGCAGATGTAGAGAAGACTCCTCAGATATGCAGAGCAAAAGGATGAAGGTCAGCCGACACACGTTACAGCAAGAGAGATTATGATCAGATAGATATAAGGAAAACACGTTTACTGTGAGAGTGATCAAATGTTGGACCAGGCTGCATAGAAAGGTTGTAGAATCTCCATCGTCGAGATATTAAAGAATGGACAGGACACAGCCCAGCGTAACTTTGAAGTTGGTCCTGCTTTGCATGATGGGGTTGGACCAGATGACCTCCAGAGGTCACTTCCAACCTAAACTCTTATAAATAGCATAAAAATTCATTTATCATTATTGCTGTGAAAAGGCAGAAAATTGATTCTTCAAATTCTATAAATATAGTATGGAGTATATTTATAAACACACACAGGGTTTTTTTTTTAAAAAAACAAAACTCAGACAGGATGGTGGATGACAGTTGTGTCTCTACTATTGTCCCACAACTCAACAGACATGACGGTCAAATTTAATTCCCTTCTCCACACTGTGGGATGTAGGTTTGCTTTATCTCCTCAATTTTATTAGGTAAAGACCTATCTCTGATGCAGCAAATGTTACTTTTCCTAGGTTAAAAATACAGTGAAAGTAGAATATATCTACAAATTTGGAATCAAAGATGTCACCGTAATATATCATTCTTAAAAAAAAAGGAGAAAAAAAGGATCTCATACTTACATTTCTGGGACACAGTTTACACTGGAAAATCTCTTTTATACAGGTAATAAGATGACAATGAAGTTTCTTGGTTAATCCATCAAAATTCCTGCAGGCTAAGATAACAATTTCCTGAGGATGAGTTTCCAGCCACCTTAACACTTCCCACAGAATATCCTACAAGAGAGAGTCACGGCAACTTAGAAAATCATCTATGCTATGGAGGGGAAAGGACATAAAACCAACAACTGATGGTGGGGTAGACTCACAATCGCAATAATAAAAATCAGCGTAGGTTTCCATCTGACAGCCCACAAGGAGGTCCAGAGAGATGCATCCCGGGAAAACCTACTTTCTGCAGGTCTGCACTGATTTGCTCTGGATGTGGTTCTAGCACGCTACACTTAACGGCTTTGTATTTTGATAATATCCATGAATCTCTTACTGCCTAAAGGCAGGTTAACAGTAAACCCATCTTCCCAAGCTTCTTTAAGGACAAACAATGTATTAGTGGCAAACTCGAAAACAGGGAAAAGCTCTGTCCTTGCTTAAACATGACAGGACCCGTTTTCCCCATTCATTATGGGCAATGACAACGTCTTGAAGACCACGTGTAATTAGCAGGGTGGTCAGGCACTACATCTAACGGTTTACATGAGCATGTCAGTCACCATGAAATCTCAAGACATGAAGGGTTCAGACTCATGAGCATGAAACTGAAGTTTAGCCAGTTAGTCGACAAATGAAAAGCTGCATTAGCTGGCTGTGCCTGGCTATGCAGATCCCAGCAAATGGAAGGAAGATGTAAACTACTCCACAGTGACAGAGCACATGCAAAGACCAACTTACAGCCGTTTCTTCACAGTAGCTGACAGTGATTTGATCATGGGATCCAGACTTGAGTATCTCTGTCTTTCAGTGAAATACTTTTTTTTTGCGGAAAAAAGTGTTTCTGTGATTTTATTAGGCTTTTAGTACCTTCTTCTCTTTAATGACTTCTCTCCTTTCTGGGGAAACAGGATTGCCCTGGGTAGCATCCTGGGACAACACAAGATAAGCCCCAGAAACATCAGGCACTTGGTAGGGGGTAGGCGGTGGAGAGTAAGGCACAGCAACTCCGGTTTGAGGATGAGAAATTGATTGATGCTGAAATCTTACTTGCAGCTGCTGAAACTAACTTCCAGCCCAGCAACCAGCCTCTAGTTTGGCTTTCTACAGTTTGAAGTCCTCACATTAGAAAAACAAATAACCTACTCAGAAAACCTTGGGCAAGCATTTTCAGATTGTAACATCTCTTAAATAAAAGAAACGGCACTTTTTTTTATAGCCATCCCAAAGGTAAGGACAATACCTGTACAGTAACAGTTGTGTAAACCATATGCACAAAGTACAAATTCATAGATGGATCGCTGGCCTTGTGGGCAATCCTGAAATCCAGATATCTAACTCCAGCCTCAAGTTGCTCCGTCACAGTCAGTACCTGAAAGGTGAAACAGAAGACAAAGAGCTGAGAGCTTGGAAGGGATTTGTTTCTTTAGTTTAGAAAGCTGAAAGAGGTGTACAAAGTTGGCCCTATGACATTTTTCACAGGTCTTTCATCTTTAAAATGGCACTATATGGCAGCAAGTCACAACTTTTAAGTGTTTTACTCTCTGACAAGAGGGATCCTGATTTCCCCGCAGCATATACTGCAGGTACGGATCAGATTAGTTTCAGACTTCTGCCCTTGTTGTGTTCTAAAAGTTAAAGATCCATTAACCTGTGAATACATGATCACTCTTCACAAAACTATTCTATGAACAAAAATTGCAGGATCAGCACCTTAGAAATGCTGTATTTATTTTATTAGATCAAAGACTTTATCGTGGTTGTCTCTGCGGAGCTCACTCATCCCCAACAGAAGGAAAAACAAAAATAGAAAAAAGTACTAGCTATTGTTCTTTTTCAGGATAAAGTCTCTTTAAAAGTTTGAATTAACCTGTAGAAGTCCCACAAAGCAGAAGTCCTCCTCTATTTTCCCTTTCCCTTGGACCTCCCCTACTGGATTTGAGGGCTGAATGGAACAGGTGATAAAGCTGAATTTCTGGGGCAAAACATCCCAAATGACATGTCTCTTATCTATACCAAGGCTCTCTTTGCATAAGAAAATAGAATCAATTTCATTAAATACGTTTAAACACTAATTTGTCTCAGTTCAACCTGCTATGGACAACACTTACAGGTTTCAGAAAGAATACACTATACTGATTTAAGTCAGAAAGGATTCAGCAAAAGCTAAATCAATACAAGGTGTTGTGCCTGAATAACCACATTTGTAGCTCCGTCTTGTCACTGAAGCTTTGACACATGGCAGGATGCTCACCGTGCCTAGTTTCAACCATCTAACTTTCTGTTCTTAGGATGGGAATTTAACCCCCCCAGACTGTGCCTGAGCTGCCGGGCTGGTGAGCAGCCCAGCCCCGCATGCCCCAGGGTGCGGGTGGTGCAGCGGCTTGGGCCAGCAGCTCCCTCTGTGCCTGCTTGGTCTCTATCAGGCTGGAGCAGTTGAAGAAGAAGTGATCCGTGCCCACGTCCCACCTTCACATGGAGTGCGCTGGAGATAGGAATGTATATGGCTGTAGGTCATATATAAGCTTTGTGGCCAGAAAGAGCACCAGATGAAACAGTCCCTCTGAACTGCCCTTTGGATTAATTTCTTTCTTTCCGTTGACTGCATGGGAAAACTCGAACAATTAGACTCCCTAATTAGTCACCTGGATTTGGATACCGAATTAGACAGCATGAACATTGCCCCCAAGGGGAAAATTTAAGAGGAAGCCTTAGGGAGTGATGCTGCTCAGTGCTGCAATCTCATGCTAGACATGCAGGGCACGAGTAGCAGTTACACACCCGATGTCAGCCATTGTGCAGGAAAGATTTGGGCCCCTAGACTGACACCCGTAACAGCCAGGGCTCCAGCCAGGCACTGCCTCCTAAGCACTGGGCCATCCAGGAACCTGTGGGTCCTACCATCTGTAGGGCTCCTTGATCTCTGTTCTGGATACCAACAGGTGGAGTCACCTCCTCGCAAAGATAAATTGAGCGCCACAGAGCTAAGGAGGGGCAGGATTGCAGCTGTGCCTCTTTCCCATCAGCACTGGGCTACTTCCCGCTCAGCACGCTGGGTTTGGACCAGAAAATTACTATAATGATGTAAGGAGCTTGTTTGTCACCAACAGGGTCACTTCGCTGGCCAGCAACCCGCAAGTTAGGAGGTATCTACATCTTTCATTGGCTTAAGTCCCAAAACAAAAAGCAGCTCAACACAAGGCACTGTGCTAAGCAAGTGCCCTTCCACATCAACTCATCACTGCCGTTACATATTCGATACCTGACAGGGTCTAAGACTCCAGTTTGCCAGGGCTGCTCTAACACAACAAAAGAAGCCTGGGCATAATTATTGCTATTTATCAATTATTCAGTTTTAATTCCTAATAATGAACTACTCCTTCAATAAGAACAAAAGTCAAAAGACTTTTGGTACCTCTTTGATGCCAGGAAAGCCTATTCTTTAGAAAAATCTTCAAAAGCTCTAGCTTAAATCATGATCCCCAATTTTGTCTTTAACATACATTTGTGAGGAACAAAGAGATAACTACTACCTTAATATTTAGACATTTTTAAAAAATTAACTAAACCTTACATGAGGGATCATGCCTTCATTCTTTTAATCTTTATGGAAAAAAAAATCCCTTCAACAAGATTTTTGTCTCTGCTGCTGGGTGGAATACTTACACAACATAGATGGGGAAAAACAACTGACGTCACACAACAGTGATAGTAAAAATGACAAGCATTACCTTCTGAACAAAGTGCAAGAGAAAAACCTCTCTTGATAGTAATATTGAATGTTATAAATAACAACAATAAACATGTGAAAAAGAAGATGAGTTTCTAGTACCAAGTGGTCAGCTTTAAGCGACATCTTTGTCTATGTATCATCCCTGCCTCACCTACATGCTTCTTCCCCACAAAAGAAGATCTGGTATATATGGCACCCATCTAATACCCCAAAGTGCTGGTTTTGGCTGGGGTAGAGTTAATTTTCTTCATAGTATGGGGCTGTCTTTTGGATTTGTGCTGAAAACAGTGTTGATAACACAGGGATGTTTTAGCTATTGCTGAGCAGTGCTTGCACAGAGTCAAGGCCTTTTCTGCCTCTCACCCCACCCCACCAGCGAGGAGGCTGGGGGTGCACAAGCAGCTGGGAGGGGACACAGATGGGACAGCTGACCCCAGCTGACCAAAGGGATATCCCACACCATGTGACGTCATGCTCAGCATATAAAGCTGGAGGAAGAAGAAGGAAGGGGGGAACGTTCAGAGTGATGGCGTTTGTCTTCCCAAGTCACCGTTACGCGTGATGGAGCCCTGCTTTCCTGGAGATGGCTGAACACCTGCCTGCCGATGGGAAGCAGTGAATGAATTCCTTGTTTTGCTTTGCTTGTGTGCGCGGCTTTTGCTTTCCCTATGAAACTGTCTTTATCTCAACCCACGAGTCTTCTCACTTTTACCCTTCCAATTCTCTTCCCCCATCCCACTGGGGGGGAGCGAGCGAGCTTAGTTGCCAGCTGGGGTTAAACCACAACACCCAAGCACGGTCATGAGACCGCAGATTTCTGGGCAGCAGGCTATTCTTTCATTGCACATGGAAGAGTGTGACCACTCTCAGCACTGCAGCACAAGCTTCAACTTTGCCCAGGCATGACAGGAACGCTAGGCAACAGTTACCTGTGTTGTAGACCACTTCATGATAATGGGGTGCACAATGCAGGGCATACATTTGTTTAAAAACTTCACCAGCTTGGATTCATTGCCACTAACAGCAGAGTTTTTATCCAAGCAGTAGGTCATAGTGTCGTGACTCCCTGTAGAACACAAAAGTAAATGTACAGAAAATGTCATTTCTTAACTACTCAAGCACCGCAATACGTGGTTATTTTCCGTGCGCACACCTGACATGCCACCCCATTTCCAAATCACACACCTATATTGCCTGACAGCCTATGTAGTTATGGCAAAGTGTGGGCTCTTCTACAGAGTTTGCTCACCTGACATTAATAAGCTTAGCGTGAAATCTTCATGAAGGGAAGGCATCGAGACTTTTCAATAAAGCAGTCCCCATCTAAACTACACATCAGTGTTGTTTGCCTCAAACCACAATAAAATGGCCTGTTTCAACTAGCATCTTCCACTGAAATAATTACCTTGATGTGAAAAACCTACTTTTTTCAGGGATTAAATAGCTGAAGGCTGAATTTATCTAGAATTTGTCCTGTTTTCAGAGTTGTCCAAATGCAGGATCTCGTATTCCAATCCCATCATCTCTGCACAGGAAAATATGACTGAAAGCAGAAATTCACTTTCTTACACCTTTGACTGGACCAACTCCTAATGCACTTTAAGCATTTAGCTCTTAAATGTCTGGTAAAAATGCCCTCCTGAACTAAATACCCACGTCCCCTACAAAAACAATGTTGAGGTGGGCACTTGAAGGTTTCAGAGGCAAATCCAAATCTAAGTTTACATGTGATAGATGGACAAGATCCACCTTTTATGGACTTCAAAAATTACCTGACTCTTTCCAGCACAGGGAATTACACAGGGGCAGGTTAAGCATCAGAGCCAAGTACAGCCTGCCCAAATATTTCACTTCTTTGAAGTCTTAATAAATCTGACACTCTCTTGCATCATGTTTAGATGAAACTCTGTTGCAATTCACAGTTTCTTCAGGACAGGCAACCAGTGATTTTGCTAGCTTTTTCTGTTCTATTATTTCTTCTAATTTTATAAAGCATCAATAAGAAAAGCTAACAACTCAGTGAAGTGACACTTACTGGGATCTTTACAGAGTATCTGCAAGGAATTTGCATATAATTATGGTTTTTAAGTCTTCTGCCAAACAAGTTGTTCACTGGTGCTAGGAACTGCCTTCTTGAATGGTCAGCCTTACTGGTGCCAATGGCAGTATTTCTAGTAGCCAGAGAAAAAGGACAAGATTTTATATGAAATAAAGAAAATTCTTTGAAACTGTCAATAATAGTTCAATGTCTCACTCAATTTTTTCACCTTTTAAAATCGGGTTTCTGTCTATTTTCCTGCTTTAAACACCCCAACCAAGCTCATTGCAGATGAAAGACGGTAGTAAGGGCATGCAATCAAAGAAGTTTGTCTTACAAGATGTAAGAGTCAAACCATTAAATACCCATGGACCAAATCCAAGTCTGGAATCCTGTTCAATTCTCTCATCGATGGGTGTTGCATCTACTGATGCCAATCAGCAAACGGATAGTAACCTTTCATTTAGGAGAAGTCTTGTGACGTCAGTGAGTTACAGTAATGAAAGGAAGATGGGTATATCCATGACACAACAAATATGATGCAAAGATAGTGAGCTAGCACCAAACCAGGTAGCTTCAGAGCTTGAAGCAACATCTCCCCAGCAGCACTGTACTGAACCTGGTGCAAACACAACACTAGTTAGAGGCTTGCCTCTGTCTCCTCATCATGCTTTTGGAATGCACTCTCTCACATTTCTTGCATGCCTTGTTGTCTCCTCTATCTGAGATAAGCTTCCACTTCCAAACTGGGCTTCCCCCAGTCATTGCTCCCTCTGAAAACCTGCCAGAGCTGTCTTGACCTGGTTGGTCTTGATCTGCTTTCGTTCTGACCTGGGCTAGACTAGTTTTGTAGGTCAGCTGGACAGCCACCAAAATCTTCCAAGCTAATAGCCTGCAATGCTCTGTAAAAGCCCTCCAGTGTTTGCTGAAATGGGCTTGTCCTCAGCTATTCTTTTCTTCGTGCCTGTTCTCCATGCAGGCATATTCACAAGAACAACAAACATTCACAAGAATAACAAGGTTGCTGTTAGGAGAAGAGCCAGGAAGTCAAAGGCATACATCAGCAGGTTCTCAGCTTTCCAAGAAACACCACAGTGAAAGCTTTTTAGAAACAACATGGTTCCTTTTCCACACAAAAAAAAAACAACACTAAGCATGCTACTGACTTTTTGAAGGGTTTTTGAAAGAAAAAAAAAAAAAAAAAAAAAAGAGGAGAATATTATTTTCTGTCTTCTGTAATAAGGTAAGATACTTATTTTCTTCTCTTGATGGTTAAATAAGAAATCTAGATTTATTTTTTTTTTTTTAATAACATCTGTCCTGGGGTCCTCTTACATAGGCTTTATACGAAACAGAGGTGCACTTATTTTGAAATTAACATCAATTTAAATTACATATCCAAGAAGTCACCATGAAATAAGTTTCTGGGTTTCAATTTTAATTGAAACTCCACACTCCATTAGTTCACGAAGGGCAGGGGGGGGGGAAATCCACCACAGTTCTTGGGTCCTCCGAGGGCTGCACCCACTGAAGACAAGACTTGATCTTTCCCACTATCTTTAAATATATGTCTTTGCTAAAGTTAACCTACGATCCTGTAGCCTACATAAAACATTCATCGACACGCTGTGCTGCTTTCCACCCAAACTACCTGTCGCATCTACAGTTGTGAGAGAAAACATGGGCTACACTTTTCTTTAATACCATTTTCATTGTGGAGGCAAAGGGAATCACTCAAGAGCTGACAGTCCTCCAGTGCCTCCCCACATGCCAGTGAAAACAGGTTCTCCCATAACTTCTTTGGACAGAATGAGGAAAAAAAAAAATTTAAAAAAATCAGCTATTCAAGGCATCAGAGAGAAGCAATAATATGACCAAAGAAAAGCTAATGATACACGGGTCTGAATGTAGTACCAATGAGGACACCAGCTATAGCACAGCTGTATTTACACATAATAGGATAAATCCAGTTTTCATAAGCAGGGTCATGCAGAAAAGTCACTCTCTACATCAATAAAAACATATGTTAATTAAAAGTCTCCATCCTCCTTTTTTCATACCTTCACAGCCTCTTTTAAACAGTACAAAGAAACAAATAATAAGGTAAAATGTTATTTCTCTCCTTTTGGAACCATTTTATTACGTAGGAAATGGCAAGAATGAATTAGGAAAATCTCACCATTGCCCAGATAAGTAAATGCTCAGATTATTAACACTGTTCTGACAAGATGATGCACAGGGACTGCAAAAAGTCCCTCTCTCTTTCCTTCCCTCAAAAAAAAAAACCAAAACAAAAACCCCACACTCCTTTTTTCCCTCTCCCCTCCAAGAAACCCCAAACATTATAGACTAAGAGTATTCACATGCACGCACACGTCACACAAACCCTCCCCCAAGCCCTTCTCCCACACATTGACCCAAATAATAAACATAGCCATCCTGAAATGGGACAAACAGGATGCTCCAATGCTTAAATGACACGCTAACAAAACAGCAGAGAACAAAAGTTAATCCTTACCTGGAAGGGCTAAGTTATAGAGGGGAATATCCCACAGCTTTTCTGGTAACCGTGACATCCACTGACCATTTTCATGGCACACGTGAATGGAAGTTTGCAAAGGGCCTTCCATTAGTGCCTGCTCTAGGACTTCATAGGGTGTTCTGGGAGGGAAAAAGAAAAGAAAAAGAATAAACCATTCCATATACTGAGGTTGAATTAATGCCATTGCACCTGTGCAGAATGGATTTATTCCTGCTATAAAATGTCAACCCTCCTCTCAGGTAGCTGCAGCAAAATGTCAAGAGCTTATCGGCCACAGCAGACACTGCTTTTGATAACACTGTCTCCCAGAAAAATGCCAAGGAAGGGTTCCTGCTTCAGGCTTGTAAATTGACCAACTGAAAGAAAAAATAGAGCAAAGACAAATATGCGCAGCTTCGTTGGTATGCAGAAATGACCATCCACATTGGCTATCGCAATATCATGACGAGTAACCTATTTCCAGTGTGAAACAATGTCTGTTCCCTGACCCTTTGCAGCCCCAGGAGCATGGCAGTGGGACCGATGGCAGGGCCAGGACAGGGGCTGGGTCTGCGATCCCCAGGTCCCTGGAGAACACTTACCTTGAAGCATCAATTCAGCTGCCACAACAATACCTCTATGAAAAGCCTTGACAAAGATGTCAGGACATTGGTCCTGCTGGCTGCTGGGGTCAAAGAGTAAAACTTCCATCTTCTTATTCCCTGTTTTGAGAAGATCTCTTGATGTCTGTTCTTATCACCCCTGCTGAGCCCATGATCACAAGTACTACAGTTTGGTCAGACCTTCCTGAAAACTACTCTGCAACTGTTCTTCTTGGACACAAGCCTCTCCGGGATCTTCTGCAAAATTTGCAATGGTCATGCAGGAGTGCCAGTGGATGAAACCCAGCTGAGAAATCATGGTCATCACCAGGGCCGACTAGAGTTATCCTGTTCATTTTTCATTTTATGTTCTCCTGGATGATGCAGAACACGAAGATGAGCTCTCCATGCCATTTCGTTTTTCTAGGATGTTCCTGAAGTTCAGGTGGTGTTTTGGGGATGAAAGCCTTCCTTCTTCTCACTGTTCTCAAGGCTTTAGCTATTTTTTCACAGCTATGTAGTAGGACACTTTCTTTTAGATCATGGCACAGTGGTTACCTATATTAATATCACACCTTCCTTTTTAATCCTTTTTAAAAAAGCTGTCACTGTGAATGATTCCTTCTTGTCTGCTACAGCCATGGCAGTCAGATATGTCTTTGTGCAGGTTTTGTGCTCTGCCAAACACCCTCACCCTGGTCCCTTTTGCTGCATCTCAGCACGTTCATTCCCGAGATTGCTTCTCCCCAAATTATTCTTCAGGTTGCTTTTGGCAGGTGGTTGGTTTTTCTGGATTTACAAGTGAGCCATACTGTTTACATGAAGAACATTTCCTTAAACATGGTGCAATAGATTTTTTTTTTTTTTTTGGCAGTCACATAGGGTCATCTGAAAGGCAACTTTAGGAATTGCACTCCTAAGTTTTATGTCCATACCACACATAGCAGATTATATCTGCTTTTATCTCTGCCAATGCACATAGCATCACTTGTCCAGCCTGCCTTGCTGTGCCTTCGGTGTGGCTTTGAATTGGTCTCTCTGAGTACGGCCACCCCAGTTGATAAGAATGGGACCGTGTCAGCTGAGAGAAATGCCCAGCCACCCCTGGCACAGTGACCCAGGCTGCATGTGTCTGGTGTGTAACCTGGGGCTTTCCTCCTGGTGAAGACCAGCTACCTCTGAGGTTATCCATACACACAAGGCCATTGCATAAGCAGGAAAGAAGTGGTTTAAACCCTCTCTTGCTCCCTTTGTCTCCTTATTTTAAAAAACAGCTATTTGATGGTGCTAGTGCAAAGTTGAGTGGAAAAACTCCCATGGATTTATTTAGGAAAAAAGGGTGCAGAACTTTTTGCCCTGCATAAGCAAATGGACTCTATATGCCACATCTGGTATTCTCATTCTTGGAAAGAAGTTCAGATCTCAGGCAGATCAGCTCATCCATCCTCTGGCTCTGCAATTTAACATGTCGAGCTTCTGCCTCCTGCAGACCCCTTGCTCAGACTACAGATGTCTGCAGCTAATCTTGTCCCCTTTTGCTGTGTTTCGTGCTTCCTCAAACTGCACACCACTGCACACCCAGGGCTGCTCTGCTCTAGTCTATGTACCATGTAGCATCAGCGTGGACAGGGGATGCAGGTGCTTAAAACAACATGGCTATTTAGTAGCTGCAAAAGACTGGATAGTCTTTCTCCTTCCCCAGCTCTGAAGCTGGCAGGAGCTGTGAGGATGCAACACTCCAGCATATGGCAGCACTTAGGTGGGTCCTGTACACAGACTAGAAACCTAACTATAAGCACTGCTTTTCCTCTTTTCCTTGGGATCCGCAGCTCCCTTTCCAGAGCCTTTGGGGCTGCCTAATTCCTCTGTTCCCCAAAGCCACCCACGCCCCCCCAGAGCAGGCACGCAGCCCCCCAGTGAGCAGCAGGGACTCGTAAGCCCCGCTGGCCAGCCGCACCTCGGCCTGGCACAAGTTCCTTTGCACTGACAGCACTCCCAGGATGCGTCTGAAGGTGCAGGTTTACCTGCTGCCACCCTCTCCTCCCGCCACGTGCTCTCACCGCCTTGGTTGGGCTAACGTGGGCACAGTCCCACAGCTAACAGAAAAAAAGCTGGTTTTCTGCCATTTAACTGCCCTTACACCAGTTCACCACTGAGTCAGGACAGCCCAGCGCTGGCCCACGCTAAGGAAGCCCCTGCGGAGGCAGCAAGCCCCACGATCGGCTTTGCCGGGCTGTACTACACACCCCTCAGCATTGCCTGGCCGAAACCCACGGGCAGCAGTTTCTCAGCCCGGCACAAGCTGCCATCAACGGCCCCATCTCTGCGGGACCAGGACACTTCACGAGGAGCGTCCTGCTGGGCCTGGGGAAAGCCAGCAGAGAGCAGAAACAGGAAGACCAAGCCATGCTGCAGTCCTGCAAACGCAGACATGCGAGAGATTCACATCTCATCCTCCTCCTCTTCTTCCCACTTCCCTCCACAGCACCCTGAGGCTGGGGATGGCAGCCACTGGTGGTGCACGGCAGGAGCAGCAGCACCATGGGCATCTGCTGATCAAGTCCCGTACAGAAGTGACTGGAACAGATTTTGGCCTGATCCCCTGCGCAATGCAAGCCCTAGACACTCACACCGCCACCTCCAAACTCAACTGCTACCTTGTGTTCGAGATGTGGGGTATTCTTTAGGGAAAAACCGAGGCTTGCCTGGAGGAATGGTTACAACCGTTAGCTACCGCCTCTCATGACTAAATCCTAAACTTCGCAAAGAACTGTGTCTCTATTCCCCTCTTCCAGACGGGCAAGTCCGCCCTGCGCACGCTGTTGCCGTGATTAACGATCCTCGCTCCCCTTGTTCACGCCAGCTTTCTGACCTGACCGTGGGCGGTCCGACTGCGGGCAGCAATGACATTTTGGGGACTCTACCGGCACACAAACGATAAACAAGCCATAAAACATGCCAACGTGCAAAGCCACTAGAGATCACCGCCCTCTAACGCCGGGCCACCGAGAGCCCGGGCGGTGCCCGAAGCG